GTCTGCAGAGCGGTAGCAGTGATAATACAGAGCCTCGCCATACAGGACGGCGTTCGGACCTTCATTTGTGCTGGGATGACTGTAAGATGAAGCAAAGGTAAATTCTCTGTGGTTTGTTGAGGCCATGAAGTCTTCATAGGTTTGGTAAAGGCGCACAGTGTTGCCCCAGATGTGGCTGCTGAGCAGAGGTTGAACCCAGTAACTGTTCTTCTGCCCCTTGCTCTCGTTCTGGGCTTGTTTTCCCCACGAACCAGAGATATAGCTCTTACCATGAGGACTGACTTTAGTCGTGATAGGGTCACTGATGTTGGTGATCAGACCTCTGACGCAGTGCTTGTCCTGAACTGGAAAGATAGAAAGATCAGAAGGTTTTTGAAGCAGATGATGATATAGATACAGTCAATCGTTGTCATTTATCATCATTACTTATCATACCGTTAAGGTGTATCCTTGCTTTGAAAAGGGGAAGCTTTTTATTTTTAGACTGGGATGGCTCTGTACTGGGTCTGACAGAGGGCTGGGTCGGTGACCCAGCATTTTGAGTTATTTTGTATTTTTGCTTATTTATGAAATAATATAAAGTTCTCGGGTTATTATTAGTTGGTATTAGTTGAAGTTGAGTCTAGTTTATTAGACTCGTTATCCATGTTCATGTCTCCTTGCTTATGAGCCTTTTTCTGTTTAAAATGTGTAATCTTCTTGTCTGTGTAGGTTCCCCTTGTGTCTTTGTGTCTGCCCCCCCCCACCCGTTCCCTCTCTCTGTCTCTCCGTGTCAAGCTTGCGTGTCTCAGTTTATGTCTCTCCATGTTCCCTGTTTTATTTTGAAAGTCTTGTGTTTCCATGTTCAGTGTGTTTAGTTTTGCTTCCCCTGTGGTGTCATGTTCATTTGTGCCAGCTGTGTTTCCTCAGGTGTTTCCACTTCCCTCATTACCCTTCTATGTATTTAAGTCCTCTGTCTTCCTCTGTTCAGTTTCGGGTCATCTGTTTGTCTGTCTTAAGTCACAAAATTGTTTTCAAGCTTCGGTTCAGGTTCATGTTCATGTTTCTCATCATAGTTTTTGCATGCTCCTGTTCTGATTAATGTTCACGTCCCCTGTTATAGTTTTCTATGTTAGTGTTAGCTTATCCCGATTTAGTTTTTAGTTCAGTTTTGCCCCAGCTTGCACTTATTTTTGTTTTTTGCCAACAGCCCAGCCCGGCTCACTT